CTCCGTTTTTAATCAGTAAACTTTTTCGTCCTTTGATGTCTCTTCATCGTCTTGACTTAATTATTTGGTCCCTTCATTTTTCTTGCCTTAAAAAGTCGAAAAAACTAAGCATGAAACCTTCATTACAACAGGAAACCATTTATCTCAGAAAGCTTCTCATTAAAAGGGTAATCGAGGAGATTTTCAGACACTTTTTCTTCACAAGACAAAAGACCGGAACATTTTCTTAAGATACTGAAGTCAGATGGCAAAGTTTGCTTAGGAAAGTGGGTGCTGAAAACGACGAACCTATTAGCGTTCAAAGAGCTCAAGCAGGTATTGTGAGACGTGCAGTATGAAAGCTAATAACAATGAAAATACCGTACCGAAAGAAAACTCGCTCGCTCTCTAAATATGTATAATTACGTGTGTGTGTGTGTGCGTGTGTGTGTTGATAGAGAGAGAGAGGGGGGGGGGGAGGCTGGACGGACTGAAGGATTAAGACTTCATTAAAGTTTCATGTTTAGTTTGTCTACCCAGTGGTTCATGGGGTAGTAGGAACACCTATCATGCCCTTCACTGATTTCTTTCATTCAGGTATCATCTGAGAGCAAAATGAGTGTCTTTTATATATTTTGTGTATTATTCTCACAATTGATATGGTATCAATTTTGAAATTTGCTGTAACATACTCCAGAAATACAAGAAAATCTTTGTAAATTATATTGTTTTCAGAAAATTGTACGTTGGTTTTGCAGAATAAACCAATAAATTAACCTACAGAATGTGGTGATATTAGTGTTGATTATAACGGTTATAGTAAAGATAGTAAGGTATTTCTTGATGACTACTTATATAGATAGATATTACTAAATATCATAGTATAAAGAATGGTATAAAATGCTGATTCCATGTAAAGCATTGTGTATAATGATACAATTAGAGGCTTTTAAATTTTGATAAAAGAAAAGTGAAAAAATGACGGAGTTTTGGCCACTTCTTGACGATTTCAAACCACCGTGGTGCACGGGATGTGTTTGAATTCTCTCCAAAAAGTAGGATTTGGCAGGTGGAATGCGAACATAATGGGTATCGCAGCCATAGGGATTCGAACTCACGAAATGTGACTATATATATGTTTGTACATGTAAAAAGACTTACATGAAAATTAAGATTTTTTTAGAAGCGAAATATCTCAGATAATATTCCTTGTACATAAAGTAAATATATTTTTTTTATCTAACAATTATGCATTATATGAGTGTGAAAATATATTCTGTTTCTATTAAATAATATACATAATTAGTCAATATTTACTTTTAGTCGTATTATTCTCTGTGTAACTGAATTACTGAATATAGTAATTTTCTTATCCATATATAAGTTAGTAAACGGTACGAACATACTATTAACAAAGGATATTTTAGAATATATTAAGCAGATTACATCACGTTTTAAATGTGCGCTTACATAAGGAGCTTATTCAAGATAACTTGGGATGGGTAGGTACGTATGATTTTTTTTTTTCTTACGTTGTTAATACTGTATTATTTTTCCCCTGAAAATTACGGACGTGGGTAGTTACTTCACCCTCCTTTACGTCGCTGAGCACATAGTGATGTGGTAAAGAAATAGATTGCATAATCAGGCCTGACGCTGTTCAAGAGAAAGCAAGAAAGTTTTTTTTTTCAGAAAGGGAAGAAAAGAATTAAACTAAAAAAAAAAAAATCCGACATTGTTAACAAGGTTTAGAAGTAAAGCATGAACATGAGTTTTTGAAAGCTTTTCAAATATTTTAGCACTACAAATTGATTACAAAATATACGTATTTAAAAAAAATGTAATTATAAATTTTCGTGAGCATACTTTTTTTTTCTATCGCTCCATGTATTACCATGCTGAATATCGCTAAAGAAAAATTGTCAAAAGTTTTAGAACCATTTTAAAAGAACAGCTAATTACACACGCCTTTCCATCGTAAGATATATCACGTGAATAACAAAATACATCTCTGACATCAATCTGGTCCCGAACTTTGACAAAATTCATTCCTCAAGGAGAATTACACATACTAATCAAAGACACAAGATGTTTAAAAGCATATTCAAGGGAAAGCATTTAGCAACATCGAAAAAAAAGGCGGAAGAGCAGCAAGTGCATTTTGACTTTGACGGATGAAGCCCCAAAGAGAAAAAAATCTGGAGAGATGTTTACGAGGTCAAAACAAGGTGAATGAAATGAATGGCGTTAGTGTCGCCGAAGTAAGGAAGTGACTTGCACACAAACATATAATCAGAAAATATTTATATTTTTTAAGTCTAGTTTCCCAACTTAGACTGACAGCCGGTCGGACGGACGAAAGGACTGACAAAATGAGAGAATTAGTATCATTACTATTATGATGGTGATAATGACATAAAGATAATAATTAGATTATATAGTGAACTTATCAATTTGTAAACAACTTTCCCGTGGTTGAAACTTTTCCATTCTAACCAGGAAAGGCGACGCGATCAGTCCTTCGTGCAGTTTACGTGATCAAAATACACACAGCAACGTATTCGCTATCGTAAATAATTGGATCTGCCGTTTAAATTTATGCATTCTGTGGCAAGTATTTATGTCACACTAAAGACATCCATGGCTTCGTTGTGAAACTTTAGATATCGCGCGTAATAGCTTCCGTAATGACTTGTGAAAGTTGATTCGTCCTTGATACATTTTGATCACACTTTACCTCGCCATTACCTTTCTTCCACCCTATACCATTCTCCATTGTTCTTTTTTCTACGCATTGCACCCTATTGGGCTTTTATGACCAATGTATTATTCTTACTTGTGGTATTTTTTTTTACCGCCCTTTTGATGTGGAAGAGTTTAAGGTACGTATGTTACCCACATCTAATCGAAAACCCTTAAAATTCCCTTAATTTTGGTCGCTTTGGAATACGCAGTCCGTCCACACATAATGCAACACTGTATAGTCTAAAATTAAGTCACCATCCCCATAAGCATCTTAGATAGTATTTCATTACCTTCATTAAGATCTTCTCCCAGCATTAAAAAACTTCTAGAGGACTTCTTAGAGATAGTTCCCAATGCGACAAGCCGTGGTATGGAATTAATTCGGTGAATCTCTTTTCATTAATATTCCTCTTCATGAAGTTTTGGATTTCGTGGAGTGAAAATTAGCGGCGTCTCTCAAGAGTGTCTTTGCTCCATTCCTTTGCCTCAAGGAACTCTTCATCTTTGAGGATCGTGGGCTGAGTATTATTGGTATATATATATAGTAATGGTGCTCAAGTTTCTCTCTCTCTCTCTCATACACACAGACACATATGTGTGTGTGTGTGTGCATGTAAATATATTTATATATGTATATGCGTACACACATACACACACACACACACACACACACACACACACATATATATATATATATATATGTGTGTGTGTGTGTGTGTGTGTGTGTGTGTATGTGTGTACGCATATACATATATAGATATATTTACATGCACACACACACACACATATGTGTGTGTGTGTATGTATGTTCATGCATATGTGTATGTAAGTGGGTGTGTAATATATATATACATATATATATATATATATATATATATATATATATATATATATATATTATATATATATATTATATATATATTATATATATATATATATATATATATATATATATATATATTATATATATATATATGTATATGTATATATATAATGTATATGTACATATACACATATATGTATATATCTATATATAGATATGTGTAAAGAAAACTATATAAGTATCTTTATATTCATATTCACATATATATATATGTGTGTGTGTGTATGTTTGTGTGTACGCATATATTTGTATACATATATGCATGCATGCATGCACACACACACACACACATACATATTCCAAAATAGATTTGCCCCTCAGTTGCATCGTAAGAATGAAGAGGTAGACTATCACAGTTGTGAAGAATTTCATGTTTTTTCGAACCATTTGAAGGCAAGTTAAACATCCATCGTCAGTCAGCTATCAAAGGGAACCATTTGAAAAGTTTGTTAGACACTTAAGATTACAAATGTGTGGTTCTAATTTTAGTTTTAAACATGAAAACGAACATATCAATTATATAAAAATAAAGAGAATAATATATACATAAAAATAATGCAAATAAATAAATGAATATGATATAAATATGTAATAAAACAAACATATACAATTACGCCCATATGGAACCTAACCGAAATGGGTTTTGGTTGAGAGGAAAGGTCTATTGAGTGAACAAGGTGGTTGCGATGTTCATATTATTGAGTCCGGGGTTAATTTTCTGCATGGACAAGGATTATGAGATTTTTTTTCAATAATTCCTTTTGACATCCCTGACGGTGGAGGTTTAGCTTACTTCGAAACGTTTGAATAAACACGAGTCTTGTATTAGCCTATCTCTTAATTTATACACACACACACACACACATATATATATAAAGGTATATGTATATGTGTGTATACATATATATGTGCATATATGCGTATATATATATACATATATATATACATATATATATATATATATATATATATATATGTATGTATACATATATATATTTACATTTACATATATAAATACATACATACACGCAATTATATACATCCACACATACGCACACAAACATACAAATTATGATCATTCTTATATATCATACATACACACATATACATACATTCACATACACACAAACTATACTCATTCTTATGTCGAAAACATACACATGTATACATACATTTATACACACACACACACACACATATATATATATATATATATATATATATATATATACTATGGTAAAAAAACAACTTCGCAAATTGCATAAATATATTATAAATATATTATCATAATGGATTATATACAAGTTAATATCTGGGGAGACATTTCACACAAGCACGTGCACACTACAATGAGGTATATGATTAAATAATTAAATTCACTGTATACCCTCACCCGTGTGTCAGTGGATGCGCAGTGTCATGTGAAAATCCATGGTTAGCGTCGTGTGCTAAAGCATGGCCAGGATCATGAGCAAAAACATGACCAGGATCGTGAGCAAATACATGAGCACCGCCATGTGTTAGACCCTGGCTGCCAGTAAGTCCAAACGCTTGAGCATCACCATGTGTTAAAGCATGGCTATCAGCATGTCCTAGTGCATGAACATCACTGAAGGCATGGCTATCAGTATGACCTAGTGCATGAACATCACTGAAGGCATGGTTATCAGCATGCCCCAATGCATGCACATCACTGTGCGTTAAGGCATGGTGGCCAGCCCCATGAGATAATGCCTTACCGCTTCCATGTGAAAAAGCATGACCGATTCCAAGTGGTAATGCGTGCCCTGCAGCATGCGTCAAAGCCTTACCACTTCCATGTGATAATGCATGACTTCCAGCATGTGTTAAAGCTTTGCCACTTCCATGTGATACTCCATGGAAGCTAGCTTGCCCCAAGGCTTTACCACTTCCATGTGAAAAAGCATGCCTTCCTCCATGTGATAGCGAATGCCCTCCAGAATGTGTCAAAGCCTTACCACTTCCGTGTGATAGTGCATGACTTCCGGCATGTGTTAAAGCCTTGCCTCTCCCGTGTGATAACGAATGGCCTCCAGCATGTGTCAGCGCCTGGCCACCTCCAAAAGCAAACCCATGTCCGGAATCATGTGTAAGTGCGTGGGGATCACCGAATGCTAACGCCGAGCCAAAGCCGTGTGCAAATGCGCTAGCGTCGCCATGTGACCCTGCATGGACGCCACCGAGAGCCACAGGCTGACCT